AAGCGAGGCCTGAGCGGGCCGCCTCCGGGAGTGCGGCGGTGCGCTGGAGCCGGCCTGCGCGGCCTTGGCCCTGCCGGCAGAGGGCCGGTGTCGGTGCCGAGCCCCGGCCCGGGGCCGGCGGGGGGAGGGTCTCTGCCTCAGGGTGGAGGGTTGCTCTCTTGTGAGGAGTCGGCGTAACTTCCCCGTCCTGGCTCCGTTTCCTCCAGGCCTTGAGTGCGGTCAGCTGGCCGTCGGCTTTCCCGGGCCCTGCCCTCGTCGCTGCGGTGTCGTTGCCGCTTCGGACAAAAACTGGGTCGTAAGCGGGCGCGGGCGTTTGCCGCCTTCCGCCTCGGGGAAACCGGAGTGGGGATTTATTTTTCGTACCCCGGCCCCGAGACTGGTTTTCTTTTTGTACTTGAAGAGCGATGTGAGAGAGACCCCGTTTAAGTTGCCGCCAGCTTTGGTACCAAGTGAAAAAGCCGAAGTGCGAGTCTGCCACAGTTTCCTTTCAGAATAAACTGGGTCCTTGAGAAGGGGGTCCCTGGCCGCCCGGGGGGGGCGGGGAGGGAGGCTCCTGCCTACTCCTGTGGGCGGGATTGTTGCGGGGGGGGGGGTCCGCGGGTAAATACACACAATGGTTCCAGAATGGGGGTCTTGCCCCCCCCCCCCCAAAAGAAGAAGGGATGCGGTCATTGTACCCATTAAAGCATTTTGTTCTGAAGCAATATTCATGGTGCTTCGACAATGACATACTAAACCCTTTTGTGTTTTGTTGATATTTTCCCTTTTTACCCACTGGAATACCAATGCAGCTTGTACAGCTAAGCCTATCTGTAGGCATTATTTTATTTAAGTGACATGTTCTAAAATGTTTGAGAAAGCTTTTAGGCTAGTGACAGTCTTAAATATAATGAAGTTTCAAATGCAATGTGGTTTCGTACAGAAGAGTATTTTTATTAGTCTGCTGTAGCAGGGAAATGATCTAAGAAATAGTGTCTGTGTAAAGAAAAAAAAAAAAAAAGAACCAAACCAAACGGGTATGTATGCCACCCAGGCTAATAAAAATTGTCCTGAGAGCAAAATAAGCAGCTTTTAAGCTTGCTTCACTACTCAAGCAAAACATAAAAAATCAATAAGGGTAGCAACAAAACTTAAAGCAGATCTCAAGCTGTATGTTGTCTCCACATCAAAGCAATTGATTTCATATACTTTTCAAGTAGGTATAATTTTTCTGATAAACAACAGGGTATATCTGATGAGTAGGAGAGGGAGAAAGACATGTGCATGTGTACGTGAGTAGCTGCTCTATACAGATCATCCAAACAGCATGTCTCATTAAGGTACAACACCCATGTCTACCATGAAAAGAGGCATTTCATCTTGGAAAGGGAACTTTTGCTAGACAGATGTGCTCTAAGTTTCCAGTTTTGACAGACAGAAGTAGTATATAATCACAAAAACTCACAGCCTCAAAGGTTGAGATTGATGATATATAGGAATATAGATGTGTCTTAATTCAGTAAATATAAATGAACTTCATACATTCTGTAAACAAGTTTAATTCAAAATTTTTATAAAATACATCTTGTATTTACACACATACCTCATCTAAAAATATGAGTTTTGTTGAATGCAAAGTTATTACAAACTATCAGAACCATTTGAGAGCTGTCGTACATATTTCTTGCACAGCATATGCAAAAGGTGACCCTAGAGATACTAAGATTAAAAGGTGCAAATCTGCAATTGTGTACAAAATATGTACTATGTTAAGTGCATATCTACATTGCATATTACACATGTGCCAAGTCTGTGGAAAGGAAGTTAAAACTGCAACTATAAGTTTCACAGAACATTAGTATAGAGGAAATGAAGCTATTTGGAGATTAAATAGAACATTCTTGCATCCTTTGAATATTCATAGTCACTTCAGATGCACAGGAGCCATTATGGACATCTAGTGACCAGCTACGCAAAGATGAACTAGGCTTAAAGCTCTCTGACAGCCTCATAACCTAAAAGTGTCCTTGCCCTTCATGATTGTGGTGATGTTAGTTAAACATGTATTCACAGGGTCTGGGTTGAGTCTTCTAATACTAATTGGATAGTCCTGTTAAAAAAGAAATATAAGTCATGAAAAAAAGAGATCAGACCAGATTATCATGCAAGATTCCAAAGCTAACATGCACTTTTTTTTAATACATTGTAGCTTGCATATTTTTTTTTTTTAGAATGTAGAATGAATGCTCACAAAACACTTGCAGATAAGAATAAGCTGCTGGTATAATTGGTTTAGTACAACTGCAGTAATTCCACCAGAACTTCTGTAGAAGTCAAAAATTAGGTGAAAAGTCAATCGCTCTACCAGTTTTTCTCCTTTAATGTATTACAACCTAGAGTATTACATTACAATTTACGTCCAGCATCAACAGTAAGTAGTTCTGTTTAAAACCAACACAAGCATCCACCAGAAAAGCAGACTGAATAAGCTAAAGGTTTGTGGTAGAGTTGGAATTTAAATACATATTTTGCATCAGTAATGAGCGGTAAAAATAAATTACCAAAATGGGAAGTTACACAGTCTAAAAAGCTGAAAAACTACAGTTCTTATAAGGAAGTATGTCCACCATGGATCAAAGACAGCCCTTGCTATTACCTTGTCATGGTTGATTTTTTTTAATTTTTTTTTTTTAATACTGCAAATAATAAAGGCATGGGGAATGCTTTTTTTTTTTGTTACCAAGAAAAAAAAGAAACTGGAGATCTATTTGGCAATACTAAAGACTGAAAATTGCAAATGCCTAAGTTAGTACCATGCAAAATTAACTTCAGCGGACTTCCCTTGTGAAGAAACATTACCATAAGGACGATTACATAAGCAATCAACACAGTACACAGGAAATATTTAACATGTCATCACGTTATTACATAATCCTTGGATAGTCAAAATTAGCAAGACTGTAATTGTTACTAAGGCTGTAATTCTGCCTTATTTAGTGGAGGGAGAATCTGGCCTTACAAATCTTTCTTATTTCGCTTTACAAGGGATTAATAGTACTGGGGGAAAAAAAAAAAAAATAGATGCATGTTAAATACCATGCTATTAAAAGCAAGACAGAGCAAGATGTTGTAAAACATAGTTAGGGGAGCATTAATTTTATTTTGTCATCATAAAATAACATTGTTTAAAGATCACACAAATTTGATAAATCATCTTTTTTTCTCCAACATTAAGCCAGTACTACATTTGAGAAAGGTGTTCACCCATTTCTCTGTAAATTCATAGTTTTAAGTAAAATAATTTGATTCTCTAAATATGCATTTTAATTAATTATGTCACACAGTAAATATCTTGCTCCTTTGGTCAGAGATAGTAAATGAAGACTTCAAATACTTCTATCTTCAGTTTTTAAAAACCCAATATACATCCTTAACCAAGGAGTATTTACGCTACACACAAGCCATAGATACAAAATGCACAGTATATACAGGTTCTGAAAACAAATTGGAATTTATAAAAACTCAATAGCCAAATCAAAGTAATTGAGGCACTAAATTAAAAGTAGTATCTTCATGTCTTGATTATACAGACTATTCTGTGAACAATCAGGACTGTTTCATAAATATATATTATCTACAGAATTTGCTGTGCCAAAAAAGCCAGCTGTGTTTAAGCTCAAAAGAAAAATTGCACTTCGAGATTGTTACAGTTAACTTCTCATTTTTCTCCTCAAATATAGTAACCTGGTCCTAGTGCTTTTGGCACAGGTATTGAGTTGTGGTTTTGCTACACTTTCTTATAAAACACAAGGTTCTTTTATTTTGTTCATTAAAATCTGAAGAGTCTTAAACAAACCTAGAACTTTGATACAAATCTATATAGCTACAATTGCTTCATTAAATAATATACACAAATATGCTCTTCGATCTTAAAACATCTTGACAACTGGATACAAAACAGTCACTTGTATTATCTCCAGTCTCCTTAATCTTATGCATTATCAGTCTGCAAATGAATAAAATATGGTTTCTGGCCACATCTTGCACTAGATCACACCCCAGTGTACAAGGACAGAAAATAAATGTATAATAAAAAGATTGGATAAATTAGAAGGGGTTTCTTGGTCTTGAATTCTTCTCCAACTAATAATGATGCGGCACTGTATGCAGCCCAAAAGACTCCAAACAACTGAAAAAGAAGATGAACAGTCTTAGCTGACACCACAAGAAAATCTCTCCAAATACCAAGATAAATATCAGTTCATCTCTCAATATAATTAAAAATAAACCCCTCAAAGAATTTTTGGGGGAAGAACTCCACACACACATAAAACAAATACATTAAGCATTTTCATTTAAGTTTAGAGAAATATTTAACAAATAGGCATGTTATTTTCATTTGAGACATTTTTATTCAAGTGAGCAACTAAGGATCTACAGTAAGTTTTCTCTAATGTAAGACATATGGGTACCATAAAGCAAGCTGTAAACTTACATATACCGATAATTTGAAACTTCACTGGATTAATAACTTTTCTTTCTACCTTGACTGTCCCTAACTATTAACTCCTCTCTTTCTTAAGCAAAAGAGTTACTATACTTGACTGTTCCTCCTACAATTTATACCAGAGGGTTAAATTACCATTTTTTATTTCAGGATTCATCTGGCTCATAAGCTTTTCTTTAATTACAGTACCTCCACCTTCAAGGTAACTGAACCTCACATTCCTATTCCTTTCAGGTGCAGTGAGAACCCTGCTGAAGTACAATCTGTACCAAAAACTATACTGCTTACTAAGTTAAGAAAGAACCAGTTTAACAGACTGGTAGAAAGTAACATTACCTATGAATATCTACTATGTTGTATGAAGTTACCATGCATACTTTTAAAAAAAAAATGTCTTGAAGTCAGTGAACTTGACTCAAACCTCAAGCTAACAAGGTTATAGCAAAAAGTAATCAGACATTATTATCCTTTAGCAGCACCTTGAATATTAATAAAAATGGAAAAATACTTAAAACTGATTTGCATGCAAAAACACTGTAATCTTCTGCAAAACAGAAGACCAAAGAGGGCAGCCATAATAGGACCCCAGCAAATAACTTTTTCCACAGTTTTGTCAGAGAAGCTGAAGCCACTTGAGGGATTATGTGGCCAGTTCAACAGCCGTTGTAAAAAAAAACAAACCAAACAACCAAACAAAACAAAACAACAAAAAATTTGCATGTGATTGCATACTTCTGTTCTTGCTGCCTAACCCAGGACTGCAGAGATGGACAAGAAGGACAATCAAAATCATGACTGAATTCCCTAAGATACATTAGGAAAATTGCAGCAATTATAACAATTGAGGTGCATTACTTGAGTAGTTTACTTTGCTGATTGCAGCTGGAAAAGAACTGACTGGAATTTCACTATTTCACTGTAAGTTCCCCAACTTAAGGACTGTGAAATATTACCCCAAGCACAGAGCTCTCAAGCCATAAGAAGTAGTACTTGTCACAGCATAAGTAGTATTGGCCATATGGGGCTTGTCCTGCATTTTCACACTAATGATGCAAAGGTAATAACCTTGCACAGATCCTCCTGAAGTAAATGTAAGACTGTTAGTAGTAATCAAGTAACAAAGGTTTCATTAACGTATTTATTTTCAAGTCATATTATTAGTTAACTGCCAAATTAATGATTTGCTTTCTCACTGTACCACTTAATAGTAATTGCTGTGTTTGTGATTTGTTAACTTGCAATTTTGTTATTTATTATACACTTCAGTTGTACTTCAATTATACTGTTTACCAGCAAGTTAAAACCACAGAAATCAATCAAATCAACAGAACAAGAACTCAAAAAGCATACAGCTTAGCTAGTAACAGAATTTTCTCAGTCAACCTTTCCAAAAGTTCAGCAATAACTTCAAAGCCCTTTTAGGTAGCCTTTAAGAAGTACTGGAAGTGTTCAGGAACATTATGTAGTTCTGGGATCTTTCAGGGAACATTACTAGTTTCATAAAAGGTGTCCAACCACAGGTGGTATCAGGCAAGTTATTCTTGCTTTGTGCCTTACATTCCACATCTGTAAAATCAGAACAATACTTACCTTCTCTGCAAAGGGTATTGAGAGCTTTGTACTGCTACCACCATGGGAAGGTCTCAGAACAATGACTAACGTCATATTCATGCTGCAGTAACTAAAAATAAACTGGATGATGGGGGAAGGGATAGAACAGCTTATTTTCAGATTCTTCATTTTGAGGTTTATTTATGATCCTCTTAAAATGATAATCCTATTTATTTTTAATGCAGCTATTATAGCACAGCAAAATATTAAACAGAAGCTAACCTGATATCAACAGGTGTTGTTATAGCAACAGCACTGTATATCCCCAAATACTCAAAAGAAACATTTAAAACAGAATTCACTTAGCAGTCATGTTCCCCACGCTAATCAAAAGGATCACAGAGCTCACATTGTAGTTCTGAATATTGTGACATTGTTACATTGTCCTGAACAGATCAATACTTGAAGTGTTAGGAAAGTGACTTAAAAAATAACTGTAAACAATTCTCAACAGACAATACTGAACTTACTTTTATTAGGGTAGAAACAACTTCAAATGATCCAACCACCAGAAGTACAGGTGCTATGACAATGAGGGGAAGTAGGGAATATCCTATCACACCAAGAACCTGGCCATAAGCAACCTGAAATTTTCAAGAACATAAAAACAAGGTTTTTAGTACTCAATCTTTGTGACCAAACAGACTTTGATCTTGTTATAACAGTATGAATAGCGATAATAATGTGTTAGGTATTAATGAAATTTCAGCTAAAGGAAGCTTGCTAGTATGAAAATTGTTTTTGCATGCTACCCCCTAGAATTTTGTAATTAATCATTCAGCTCTCTTAGAAATGCTGCCTTCGTTTTTATTTTTTTTTAAACACTGTAAATGACAATTTTATCACTTCCAAGGCAAGTATTTACACAGGTTAAAATATGTAATTCCACCCAACCCTCACATTTTCATGTTCCGCCTTAAGTGGTTCTCAACTGCCACTCTCCATGGAGTGTAAATATGATACCCAGGAGCACAGAACTAGAACAGACCTCTTAGTCAATAGCTGTAGTCCCGGCTGTCATAAGCAGCAAAGATTTAATTTTCTGCATTAACATACTCATATCCATGATACATAAATAAATATATAAAGCACATGAATGCTTTTAGCATCAGTGGAAGACCTAGAACCTGATGCCTCTAAGGCACAGAAATCTTCTCATTTCCAGTTGAATTTATTATGACTATCTTAAACAGATTTATTCAAATATTTCCATAGCTGGTTTTAGCTTCATGGGGATTAAAATGTCTGATTCTCCCCTACTACAGTTCGAAATGTTCCTGGGCCCAGCTAGGCTTCTTGGATTTAACAGGAAAACTAGTGGCAAGACAAGTGACCATCTTGCAAGCAATCTCTTGTGGCTGTTGATACTTAACAGTGAACTGTGCAGACCTATACTTTCTCCCCAGTTTATACATTCTGGTAATTTCACATTTTGAGCCACAAAACAGATTGATTTAAGGGCATCTGGATTATGCTGGTATGCAGAAATACCATGCAACCACATATATAAAAGCTTTTTCTTTCAAAACAGTGTTCACACAAGAAGATGCTAGCAATTACGATTAAAAGGAAAATCTAAAAAAAATTAAAGTAAATGTAAATAACATAGGAAGTCTGCAACACCAGTTCATCATTAATGCAAGATGCATAGTAAAAATACAAAAATCAAGTATCACTGAATATTTAGCTCTTCACAACACAGTTCAATGCATTTTATGCTGCGGAGCCACTTTAAGAAGTTTGTACCCTCCTGACTGTTCCACTGTAGCTGCCTGTGGGCCTTGCTGTAAGTCATTTTTTGTTGTTTACACCTGAATCACTTAGTGACTCAATCTGTAAACAGCTCAAACAGCTATTCCAACCCTGCTGGTGCAAGCAGCTGGAGGGAGCGATGTAGGCCAGAACTTCAATTGGCTTTGCAGTTGGAGAACATGCACTGACTTTCCTCTTTTAAGGGGTTTGAATTGCATCAGGCCAAGGATGAAAACAAACACTGGTGGGTGCTCTACCCACAAAGACATTATACAACTGCAGCTAGCCCCATTAAAAAAAAAAAGTTTAAATAAAGGGCAGCACAAGAGCAGTGCAAAGGAGGAGAAAGGGTCCCATTTAGCTCAGTGACTAAAAAACTGAAAGCACTTGTCCCTTAAGAATGGACTTCAGTTCTGGATCACAGGCACCTGTTAGAATTTCTGGGATTCATAGTACAAATTTCCAGATTGTTTATCACATCCAGCGCACCATATATCACACAAAGATTAGCTGACCATGTCTGTATTTTAGATTTTATTTTGGAGGCCAGGAACCTGAAATGTAGACATTACACTTACCAACTGCATCCATTCTTAGCTGGCTACAAGGTCCAAAGCCAAGCACCAAGAAAACTCAACTACTACTGAAAAAAGTAGCCAAGAGACTTTATATTACCTCCCCCTATGTCCTTTTTGCACACAGGTACTTACTTCTCCTCCAAGAACCCTGGCCAGTAAAAAAATTGTCAAGGATCCAAATATCCAAATAGTTATAATCCAAGACACAACCTTAAGAGATAAAGAACAATTCATTTATATTAATCATTTTCATTGTGAGAAAGGAAAACTCATTTCTATTAATCACTTTCACTGCAGTCAACGATTTTATTACGCAAAACTGAATTCTGAATTGCGGCAAGAATAGTTTTTACTTAGTATCACAATGCAACTTGAGAATAAAATTCAGAGGTTACATTTACAGAATCATATTAATGGTAAGTTTGGTGAACATGGAATGCATGTGCAGTGTTTTATGAAAGTATTGTAATATTGTAGCAGAGTAGGAAGAGTTTAGTTAAAACTACGGCTAAGACGACCCTAGCTAAATGTCTTCACATCCTGCCTATTACAAAATGTGGGCTCAGACAATTTTTAAAAGTCAGGCCAACCAACACAAGGAGTTGGAATTCTGTTTCTTTCATCCATAAAGACGCCACTTTATTCTTTACTCAAACTGAGAATGCTCAGAAGAAGACATAGAACTTTAACTCTCAGTAGAGCTTGATGATTACAACTTAACGAACAGCCCCAGACTCCTGGAGCAAAGTCTGTCATTTTTTCTTGCTTCTTTCATTGCTCTGCTCTTAAACTGAAGAAGAAATCTTAAAATCATTCTCTGGCTTAACAGAACCTTCAAAGTAACTTAGCTATTCTTGGAGTTGAGCCACTGGGAGGATTAGAAGTGAAGCTCTCCCTTTTGAAATACTTCTGTTTCCTTCTAAAAAGGTATCAGTCCAGTCTCTGCATTTTCAAATGTACAATAGCTGACCTTAGAAGTGAAGTTAGTACTCAATATAATATTTTGCTTAATTAAAAGTTCCAGATTCCCAGAAGAATCAAATAGGGGAAAACCAGATAAAAACCACAGCACAACTGAAAAAGAATAGATAAATATAAGAGCTTTATGCTATTTGTGAAAATAGCACATGGCCTCCTTTTACTTCCTGCTTTCTTCCACTGTCTAAAAGAAGAGGACCAGATTAAAGTCTTAGAGCTGGACTGCTCATCTTTCTCCAGCCTACAACCCACCATTCAGTTCATCTAGTCTAGCTGCTGTCAGTCATCCTGTTGCTAGCTACTAGCTTTTCCTTCTCACACACGTACAGCACTCTTGCATTGGTACAGTAAATTCACTGTTCCTAAGAAACATCAGGCCTACTTTTCAGGTACAGTAGGTACATGAACTGCAGAAGGTAGTTTATCTGTCATGGGATCAAGGAATGGTCCTTGCTTTACCTAGGAGACAGCTAAGTGGTCCACCAAGATGACTTGAATAATACAGTGGTTTAGTCTACTCACTTCAAGTCTCATAGAAACAAGATACTGAGAATGAGTTGTCAGTCAGCATTTGGTACACCATATGGAAGCCAGAGGTCGCAAAAGGAATGATTTTATCACACCATTCACAAAAATCCTTGCATAAGCACATTCTGCTACTTTACATATGGCTTACTGCTATACTACATTGTATTTAAAACAACTGGAACTACACATATAGTCATAAAGATTTCTGAAGCAGGATCACCTAGGCTCACACTCAAATTGTGACTATAAATAATACCACTTCTCTATTTCAATGTGAACTTAAAGAAAAAAGCTAATGGTGTTTATGGAGGCCAATTAAATCTGCACAATGCCTCCGAATAGCTATTCAGGCTAGAGTTCAAAAGGAATTATGGAAAAAGTCTATTGACGAGAGGAAAATTATCTGATTGTAACTGAGCAGGGAGGACAAAATAGCAAATGGCTCTAATGAAGATTTAACATACCAGATAACAGCGGTGAAATAGTATGAATTAAACAAGTAGCTTTATTTGTCAGGAAATTAAAATTCATGGCATCCAAGCAAATGTCATTCCATAACATTTTTTAGTAATAAAAAGCACATTAACAAAAGGTCACAATTAAAATGGAAAGATTCACTAATATGACTATAAACCCATTAGTATCAATCTGTTTCCTCTAGAAACCACAACTTTCCTTTGTTGTACTGTATAAAAATAAACCTGACATTTCATCACAATTAACTTATCTGTGGGCTATTTAATACATTTCTTACTGCTGTCTTTCTACCTATTAAATTGAGAGACAGCATTTGAAATGCTTTGCATTAGTATGTGAAGAAATTACTTTCTAGCTATGTAAGAATGCAAATTACTTAGCAATCATGCCCCAAAATTTAGCTTAGATTTCTTTTTAGGTAGAAGGCTTACACCTACCTTAAATTGTCCATATAATGAAATCATTGAGAAGAAGAGGACAACTGCCAGAGGACCCCAAAAGTCTGGATTGTCTCTCACTACCTGCCTATTAAACCCAAGGGATGGCATAGGCATCAACACACATCGAATTTTGTAGTAAATATCCTTCAGATCAATGTCAAGTTCTTCCCTGAAATTGTAAAGCAAGAGAGCATTACTGTACACCACAGTAATGAAGTAGAGCATAAAAATAAGCACAGGGACAAACAGTAGGTTTATAGAGCAAGTCTCCTGTCACCCATAAGGCTTTCTGAAGCCCTAACTAGAAAAGAACAGTTCGTCCACAACAAAGCAACACCATACCTTCATCCCACATTCAGTAACTGGTATGACACAGTTAGATATATTTAGTTACTTAAAAATCAATTGCATGACTGAGAACAGAAAACATACACAACATACCCTAGCAGTCTACATTAAAACAGTAGATCTATTTTCTGACATGCAGGAACACATGACACATTCATACCCTTGTAACTACTTAAAAGTCAAAGACATGCATACACAAAAGTAGGATGTCTGTGTATTCCTGTGCTGAGCAGTTTGCCATGAGCACACTTATTATGGAAACATTTTACTTCAAATTCTACAAGAAAGAATACCCTTACATTCACTAATCCCAAACCATTCAAAATACATCAGGTAAAAACAATTTTTTAAATTAAAATGGGGTTTAAACTTGCTTCAACAACAGTAGTCTTCTGCAGACAAGTTTATGCCAATTGTTTAATTACTGGGTAAAAAAATAAATAAAAGTCAATTAAATTAGCGATAAATTCTGTCAACAGATCTTGCTCTTCTCCAATTGCCTTCTCTACTCCCTGATACAAACTATCTGTAAGCAGGTACAAATTGACCACAAGACTCTTCTGGATAGGAGACTCTTGACTCTTCACTGGCACATCTTGCCCTGATTATCCTAGCATGAAGGGAAGGAATCAGACTTCCCAAATAACAGGCAATTCCACTTCTTTAAGTTTATGAGTGGAACCTTAAGACAGAACTGTACACTAATGTTTTCCTTATGCAGTCATGACTGAGGAGCTCTGAAGAGTTGCAAGAGACTTCCCGGCAGATACCCCTCTACTCTACATTTAAGAGCACAATGGAGAAAGATGTAGAATCATATCCTAAGTCCATTCATGAAAGTTTTGTACAAGGCTTTGATTTATGGCTTTTTTCCTTAGAAAAGCTGAAGCAAGAAATAAACACAAAGACATAATTCACCACAATTTCTCTTTTAAAAAAAAATTAAATACTGCTCCTTGAGTCTCTCAAGGCAACTTCAGGATTGCTATTACTGAAGCTATTTCAGAACTGGTATTACTAACCTGTGACTAAATAACAAAAATTGTTCTTTAACACATCCCTGAATCTAAGGAGTAAATTAGAAGCATCTATTTTCCTGTGTTTATCTAAACAGGATGTAGCATTCCTACATTTTATTCTGAAGACTGTGTAACACAAATATTTCCTGTCTTGAAATAATTCTTTGTCACCACCTAGTGCTTCTGACAGTTTCTTACTTGAATAAACAGTCTTTCGCATGAAGCTGACAGCTACCTCACCTAAGAAGTGATGGTAGCTGTAATGGGAAACAAGTGTCTGGAGTAAGGCTGCCCAATGAGAAAGGGGAAAAAAAAAAAAAAAAAAATCTCACTCTATTGAACACTTGCACAGTAGCACTGCATTGGTGAACTTCCCTTCGCTGGCTGCTATTGTTTAAATCCTTAGTAGGATTCAGGCTACAAGGCTTCATTACAGCACATGTTCTGGGAATAATCACAACTGCACAGAAACTGCTACATGAAAGTCAGATCTTCTCTGTTAGGACAATTATATTCATCCTGTTTGCCACAAACTGATGATTTTCCTGGCATGTTCTCCTCGCTCCCAGCAATCAGCAGCTTAGAACACCTAGCTGTCTTTGAATCACAAACTTGGGTTTTGTGGTATAAAAAGTTACACAGAAGTGGGAATTCATATGTTGTCACCTCAGTACACCATTCTGTTTCTTAATTAAAAGTTAGAGGTTTCCAGAACAGATATTCCCACAAGGAGCTACTTCCACACACGTCAATTTAAAGTGCTTTTCGAGTAGCAGTTTCATTATTAAGCTCTCCAGGCATCTGTTCCCTCCCAACACTCTCATTTGAGTTCTCCAGAGTACTCTCCTGCTCACTCCATTTTTTTTAAAGCATCTTTATCTTTAATTCACACTGGAAAACACTGAGGCACTGAGAATGAAGTTGCTTAGGTGCAGAACAAAGACTACAACCGAGGCTGCCTGACTTACAGTGTAGTAACCTTAAGATACAAACCTTCTTCAGCCAACCATGTTTCTGTGAACAGAACAAGGTATGTAGAGATTTTCAGTTTTAAGGACATTTTTGTCTTTCAACACTAACACCCTTTTAATCTAGCTTTATAATATAAGATAGCATCAACGATAATAAAGTTTGTGCTACCTTGATTCTAGCATCCCTACTGTAATAAGCATGATTCACAATGCTTTTACTTCAGAGTAACTGACAGAATTTACTTAGATTTACATAACATAAATCTTTCCACAGCATTGTCCTAGCCTTCGATTCTCTGACAGCATTAAGAAACTCACAACATCAGCGCAAAACATAGAAAGAATACAATCTAATTTTTTAAACCATTACAAGATCAACAGATAAGAGCAGAAAAGCCATAAAAGCTTTATACTTATAGAGATTAATAAAATTGCATTTTACCTCCTCCTTCCTTCCCTACAGTGAACAATAAGCCTCTCTTTTACACTAAAAATAAAACCCATAATGACAAACAATGTTTTCATTCCTGCCAAAGAAAACACTCATTGGTCAAGTAATATGTCAAACAGAATTCTAGTCACAGCAAAAGGCTGTGGGACAATTTGAGAGGCTACAATTTGTTTGTTTGTCCTACACAGCTAATATAGATAGATACCAAAAATAATTAGGACATACAGGAGTGGCTTGTTATCTTCTGGGTCATCATCTTCCACTTCTAGAAGCCAGCCATACCCTCTCTGTCTTAGGAATGTAGTAGCAGTAGATTCTTTGATGAATTCTCCTCCAAGATTTAGCTTAACATCTGGAGTTGTTATGGAGCCACTAAGATCTTAGAGAAAAAGGGAGATAAAAATACACCTTTTTATGTCTTGCCAAAAGCCATTTGATTTCAAAAGTACTGGAAGATAAACAACAGACATACAAAGCTACATGTGCTGGTCATCACCATGAAATACTCAAAGTTAAAATTACACTTTAACAGATACATAGCCTGGTTTTAATGCAATAGTAACAATGTTGGGTTAGGTCTCAAATTACCAAGTTTTAGCTTCTAGATGGAACTCTTGTTTGGATGACACGGTGTTATGGTATGACAGAAAGGCTTCAATTTGTGCTTTATCATTAAGCATTTAAAGGCATAAAAGGAGTTAACTAATGAAAGTCTCATCATACTGTAAGTTGTGGATTATTTACCATTTTTTGCTGGCCATACTATACCTCTTTTGGAGCCCATTTCTGCACAGTGGCATTGTTTCAGCCAAACCATTCTCTGCTTTTATGTCCAATTTTTCATGAAAGGAAAACATTTGTAGAAGTGTTCATTTGTAGCCTGCCTTTAATACAGGTGAAAATGTTAGGAAAAAATATTATCAGAGATCCTTAGGCTCCAGCCAATAAGAAGAGACACAAGGAGTTCTCATCAATATACTATGATCTTGCTCTGCCACAGTACTAAACAAAACAAAGAGCAACTTATGTATGTTCTGGCTGTGTCAAAGTCAGCAATAAATGTTAATTTTATTCTCTCATTGTATTCAGTTATATACAGGTGAAAAATACAAAATAGTAACTGAAAATATATGAAGCAACTTTAAGAAAGAAAAAAATATAGAAGAGGGAAATAATTATTCCTTTAGGGAATCATGGATTTCCATTGTTTGCTAAAAAGGAAAAATGCAAACAGAATCATGTAAATTTTTTCTACAGACCTTATTACAAATATATTGAGACACAAAAAAAATCTCCTCTCATCCAGCACCTTTTCACTTCACCAAAGAAAATCTTATTTTGCTTTTCCATTGTTGTGTGTTCCTCATACAAAAAAGTTCCTAGGCACAGATTTCCTAAAACACCTAGCTATAGCAAGTATTTCTGAAACACATACTCACAGAGGCAAGTCAGGCAATATTTGTAGATTACATTTGTGACATCTTCTATCAAAACACAATGTAGTTTTATAGAAACAAAATTTGTACAGTGACAGAATCTCACACAGTCTTTAGCCAGCATATGTGAAGTGTTCACTGATCACTCAATATTACAATTAATTTAACAGAATTCTGCTTCCCAAATCAGCTTGCTAGGCCGCTCAAATTTAAGCTCCTCCATAAATGCTTTTCAACCATTTCATTACCACGAGAGTTAATGATCCATTGCTTTGATTCATGGAACACCATCTGCACAGAATCCTCGTAAAGATCACTGTAACTTAAAGAAGGAATTTCCCTTGCTCCTGTCAGTATCAGCACACATACCCTGTTCTCAACAGACACAAGCAAAACCTTCCTCTGTTGTTTACAGAGGGAGGAAAAAAGAAAAATGTATTCTTGATGCCTGGACATCAAGGTAGAGAAAGCCTCAGAAGTTTTGTATTGTCACTGGGACCCTTTTGTCATATTTGTTCATGCTACAAAATAACACTTCTTTGCAAGGCGAGGTTCTTGCCACTCTTTGTGCACAAATGTGGCTGTCAAAACAAGCAAATATAACAGTCCAACCAGTCATCTATTTCTCCCTTCTCAGTGACCACTGAAAACCCATCCTGCGGCAGGGAAGCTTCTACACAAGTCTTATTTACCAAGACTCCTTTTAGCAGTTGGCAATTGGTGAATACCTACAAGCACACTTTTTAATCATGAAACCTATTAACATGATCTTAAGTCTATTTTGCAAGACATCTCAGGTAGGAGGACATAAAGGTGCAGAAACCAAGGGAAAAAAATCCGCCACCTCATCTTCTATAGACTGCTTTGAATGAGATGGTTAACAGCAAGCCAAGCGCTGAAGAATCTGCCAAGAATTGATGGTTCTGATGCTGGCTAGTGAGAATTAGGGTGCCTTCACTGCTACTGCCTCAGTCAGAACACCACAGAAGCAAAACTGAGGTATCTCACATGCCTCATTTCAACCAGGCATTGTGGAAAACCAGCTTTCAAGGCAGTCTTTGCTCTCAATTTTGAAAAAGCAGTACAGGAGGCAAAAAAAAAAATCCCAAACAGTCTGTTCTTTCTACCATATCTGTCCAGCTAATTGAGAACACCTCTCCAGCACTCTTTCCTCTCATGGAAATAAGATAGGAAAATAAAACAGCTTGTACTTTTATATTTCATATGGATTAAGATTTGGGAAACAAATAGAAATTAGAGTGCAACGTGTAGTATTTTAATTTAAAAATATCAAGCTGTTTAACTTTGCTTATGTTTTTGTTTGTTAGGGTACCTCTATGCAGCACTAAGCAGACTGACTACACTTAAACAGGCAGGAGATCTTGCCTTGCTTGTGTTTATAAAGAACACAGAGCTGAGTCCAATTCCACACCTCCTACTAGACAGGTGGCTGTATTGGATTGGGTTCAGCATTGCTCAACAAATGCTTCCAGAGGGAATCCAGAGAGTTTCCACTCAGAGGTACATGGATCCTTTTTCAGACCAAGGTGGAGAAGAAAAACAAAACAGGAAAAAACCCCCACCCCAACCCAACAAAAAGCCACAGCCGTGACTGTACCTGTAGATTAGTATTCCTTGTCAGAAGGACTGGGAAGTTCACCAAAGAACAGGTATTCTACAGTAGTTGTTCCAATTCAGTAATTCTTTTCCAGGGTGGGGCACACGAGTCAGGATTTACATGATTCCCTACCCCTGTCCACAATTACAACAGTAACTAAATACATACATAAAGTAGAGTGCTTGTTGTTTAAATGGGTAGAGCCCAAAAGACCATTCTGCACCAAAAGTTAGCACAACGTTGACTCTTGTATGTTCATTTTCAGTCTTAAGGCAGATTTTCACGGCATGCTGGTACACTACTGCTATTTGTGCAGCAGTCAGGCAGCAGGCCACACTTCACCCCCTAAACTACACACAGGGCTTCTTCCGCCCCCCCATTACTGCGCTGAAACGAGACACGGTACAGAGACTTTGGCACAGCGTTACAGCGAATGTGAACATGCGGTACAACCCTCGGTAGACACCAAACTGCGCCTCCAGCAACGTGGGGAAAGAGAAGCGCTTGCCACGGTTATGGCAGGTCGCCGGGCACAACCTGGAATACGGCTTTCGGAGAACCCGAGAAACGGCGCACCGCGGCCGGCCCTGCCACGCCGGTGCTTCCGCCGCGCGGGTAACGCAGCTGCTCGCACCCGCCGTAAGCGCCGCTCCCGGCACCCCGCCGCAGTCCCGGGGCAGCGGCCCGGGGGCAGCGGCCACCCCGCTCCGCCTCCAGCCACGCCACCAGCCTCGGGGGCGGGGGGGGGGGGGGGGGGGGGAGGAGGAGGAGGAGGGCGAGGCAGGCACCTCTTGCCTCAGCGGCACGGCAGCCGCCCGCTCCCCGCGGGCCTCGCTGAGCCCTTCTCTCGGGAAGGCGGGCGCGGCCCCAACCGCGGCCCCGCGCTCACCTTCGGCGTCTGCCGAGGAAACAAAGGTGAAGTCCCCGTTGCTGGGCGCATAGAGCGGCGGCTGCTGAGGGCCCGGGGGCTGCATCTCCCCGCCCTCCGCGGGGGCTGCGGGGCCGATGGGGGCAGCGAGAGGCGAGCGGGCACCGGGGCCTGGGGCCTCCCCGGATCGCGGCGGCGGCGGCCGGCACCCACAGCACAGCCGCCTCGCAGGGCAACAACAAGCGACACCGCCCCTCCGATTGGCTGCTCGCAAGGCGCGCCGTGATTGGCCGCCGGAGGGCCACGGCTGACTGGCTCCCCGGCTCTGTCTCGAGGAGTGAGGTCACTTCGGCTCCGATATAAAGCTCCTCCTGATTGGACGAGGCAGACCTGGCTGGCGGGAGGAGCTGTGGCGGGGTCTCTGTGCGCACCCCGCCGAGGGCTGGCCTCGGCTCCTGCGGCATCGTCCGGCCGGCGTCGCACGGCGGCGCCCTTCCCCTCCGCCCGCCGCCCTTCAGGGGCGGCCCGCCCCGCCTGTGCTGGGTCTGCTCCCCGTTGCCATTGGCATCCGTCCCCGGGCCGCCCGCGCGGAGGCCCTTTTTGGCGGCGCACAGATGCGGTGCTGGGCTGGGGTTTGGGGCTGCAGCCCAGAGATCAGTCCCCACCTGTTGCCGGCTCCTGAACAGGCCCCTTTGCTAGTGCCCTGTGCTATTTACGCTGCAAGACCTGTCGGTTATCAGTGTACCGGATCGGTACGGTACTTGAACGCCACGACAAAAGGTAGCCCCGGGAAACTCACCCGCCTCCCCCCCCCCCCAAAAAAAAAAAAGTTTTCTTCCAGCAAGTGCTTCTCGTGGAAGGTCGGCTGGCAAGACCATACGAACAACGAGAAACAGCCCTCTGATGGTGCTGGCTGGTGGGTGCAGGAGCTGCCGTCATCATGATGGGCAGTATTAAAGATAAGAGGCCGGATGTTGTAGTCCAGTCTGACCTCCCAGAACCCATCTGAAGGCTGATGGCAGAAATTTGGCATCTGCAGCACCCTGGGATGACAGCTTCACCCCCCTCACAGCCATCTGCAAGTTTTCCTGGTTGTCTTCCACAAGTTTTGTTCATCTATGTGGCCATTGCCCTCTGCCTGCCACCACCTACCAACTGCCTGTTAGCATGTTTAATTGTAACTCTGCTTCTCATTTCATAGTGAGATATTTTCTTCATGTCTTTCTATATGCTGCTTGACCCATGTAATCTGCTTCCTGCATACTGCTAAAAAATAGTATTTTGAACTTACGGTATCAAAAGATTTGCTGGAAAATGCTCAGCCTTTCAAATATAACTCTGCGCTTTTTATTTTTCTTTCTTTGTTGAATAAATGCATCATTGCAAATATTTTCCTTCCATGATGGATACGAAAAAAAGCATCCTTTTGACTGTTCAGAAGGAATTGCCTCCATCTTTACTATCCAGCGATTTTATATGGCTCTACCTCCCAGTATTGTGAAGGTCATCTGCAACCCTGTTGATAATTGTTTCCCATATACAATCCTAAATCTATTCTGTTACCCTATATCCTTTTTTTTTTTTCTCCCATTCTTTTTGATTTAGAATCATAGAATCATTTAGGTTGGGAAAGACCTTCAAGATCATCAAGTCCAACCATCAACCATGCCCATTAAACCATGTTCTGGAGCACCTTTTGTATGTGCTTTTTGAATACCTCCAGGGATGGTGACTCAACCACTTCCCTGGGCAGCCTGTTCCAACACGTGACAACCCTTTTAGTAAAGAAATTTTTCCTAATATCCAACCTAAACCTCCCCTGCTGTAACTTGAGGCCATTTCCTCTCGTCCTATTTCCAGCCACCTCACTACAACCCCCTTTCAGGTAGTTGTAGAGAGCGATAAGGTCTCCCCTCAGCCTCCTTTTCTCCAGACTAAACAACACCAGTTCCCTCAGCTGCTCCTCATAAGACTTCTGCTTCACCAGCTTCGTTGCCCTTCTTTGGACACACTCCAGCACCTCCATGTCTTTCTTGTAGCAAGGGGCCCAAACTGAACACAGTACTCAAGGTGCAGCCTCACCAGTGCTGAGTACATGGGGACGCCCACTTCCCTAGTCCTGCTGGCCACACTATTTCTGATGCAGGCCAGGATGCCATTGGCCTTCTTGGCCACCTGGGCACACTGCTGGCTCATATTCAGCTGGCTGTTGACCAACACCCCAGGTCCTTTTCCGACAGGCAGCTTTCCAGCTGCTCTTCCCCAAGCCTGTAGTGCTGCATGGGGTTGTTGTGACCGAAGTGCAGGACCCAGCACTTAGCCTTGTTGAACCTCATACAATTGGCCTTGGCCCATCGATCCAGCCTGTCCAGATCCCTCTGTAGAGCCTAGGCTCCTTTTGGGTCCTGTCTTTGTTCGTAGTTTTTTGTTTGTTTATTTGCTTGTTTTTAATTTTTTTTCTTTAACTACATATAATGTTGACAACAAAGAATGCCATGTCAAGGAATTGCTTGCGCTTAAGGCAAACCTGTCACTTGCTTCATTGTAATTCTTATTTAATGAAATTAGGTCTCAAAACCTTTAAGGAGTTTGTTAACTGTCTTCTAACAAGTCTAGCACCATACACTGCTAGAACAAGACTTGGTGGTACTTCTTGATAAATGTGGGAAGTAGCTCTCAGGGTACTGTAAAAGGGTGGGAGGAGACAAAAGAAGTCTCACACCGGATCAGCTTTGGGGGCGAAACTTGAGACAATGATAATTAATGACAGAATATTATGTGATGAGTCACAAATGTATGTTTTACTAATATGCCAAACAGGAGCAGTGAGAAATGAGATTGCATGATAGGCTGGGTGACTAGTTCTTTCTCTGCTCATTTCATGGCTTCATGCACTGGATCCAATGCTTTGCGTGTCCTTTATGATTTTCTAAGTATAACTAAAATACATGTAGGTTGATGTGAAGCAGAAGACAGTTCTGTGACACTGCTGAGCGTGCCTAGCAAAGAAGAGATCTTGTTCGCTATTTGGAAATATTTTCCATATTTTCTCATTGTCTATGATTCTGACTGACTATGATCTCTGTATGAACATGAGCAAGTAAGTCATTCTATTTCTCTGCTTTCAACAGACTGTTTATACATTCATTATCTTCTTTTTAAGCATGATTTTGATAATAGAAGGAAACTTGTTTTAATTATTTCTTTTCCTAGGGACTTTTTTACCAGCTGAGAACCAAATGGAATTTCACATAGAAGAGGTGCTGAAGGAGACAGGAAAGACATTCTGCCCATGCTTACCTAAATTAAGAACAGTGAGTATATTTTCAAGAGTTGCTCCTCCTGATGCCTTGTCATACAAGAACAGTGAAGGATCGAGAAACACACCTGATCTAGGCACTCTGGATTTTTCTCAGCATTTGCTCAAATATTAAGATATTGGCTGTCCTCCCCCTCCTTTCAGCCCCCTTCCCTTCCCCTTCAGACTCTGCAAAGTGAGCAACCCCTTGCCCCCTGCCTGGGCTGTGCCAGCGGAGGGCACTCTAGCACTGCTTTTGCCAGATCAGACCTTGCCCAGGATTTCAGTTCAGGGTGGGATTCTGAAAAAAAGTGTCCAAAACCATTTGAGTAACCTGTTTCATCCAGATGCTGCTACTAGATTTCTCAGCATTTTATGCATTTTCCCCTTCTGTGCACTTTAGAAATAACCTTCATTGATTAAGGCCCAGACTACATGTAAAAATGTGAGCAATCATAAATTGCTCCAGTTGGTCTGCTGAAGTTTAGGTTGTCTTGTAGCTCTTTGCACATAACAACCCTTCTTTGTATCTTAACCGTTTGCAAGTGCTGACTTCACTGCTACCACCAGTAGGACAATTTGCTTGCACTCTGACTTACTATATAGTAGTCAGGGAAAGGAAAAAGGGAAAGGAAGTATTTTAAAAGGCTATAGAAAGCTGTGCTGCATACAAATGCCTTGTTGGATAGCCACAAATCCAATCTACCTGCAAATAGTTATCTTAGGAAGGGCTCCTGTCTAATTTTAATTCTAGAAATACAAAAATCATGCAGTATGTGAATTTAATGGAACATTTTGTAATATTTACTGTGAAAAGGAAGTCAGAATCATTGATGTCAAGAGTCATCTTTTGATTTCTTGGAGGAAGTCTGGAGTCAACTGCTGTGACAGGGGAAGTAGCAGAGTTGCTGGGGAGTTTTATTCCTAATGTCTCAGAGTAATATCAGATTAGGCTAATTTTTATGCTGATAGTATAAATCATCCACTTTGAAATGGGTTTTGCATTTGCATCTAGGGTTGTTAGACCCCTCTTTGGGCCTGCCTCACTATAGCTAGTTGCTTGAGTCAGTGCTGCTCTAATTAGTGAGGAAAGCACTGAGCCCTTGCTTCCTGGAACAGCAAGACTCCATGGTTTAGTCTAGATATCACAGAGTCCCGCAGTGAACATCTCACTCATGAATTAAAGTTACTATCTTTCAGTGAAACCATTAAAGAGTGAATGAAGTAAATGCATTGTAGATACACTCATTTCTACTGGTAGTAGAAATATTTGCTAACTTGACTATTAACCCTGGACTGAAGGCTAGAGTTTTGATAACTGCTGTATCATAAAATTTCAAATAGTTATGAACTGGAACTTGCTTTACATCAAGAAACATCCCATATGTTTCTGGCAACAAAAAGGTATTGCACAACATAATCTTTAAGCAAACAAGATATTAAGTAATTGTACAAGGAGGAAAGGAACCTACAGATAATATGGCATGAGATTTTGACAAGCACTATGACACTTTACTGCTTACTGAGTCTTTTTAATTTAAGAGCACTCTGAAGTGGGTTAATTCCTATCATATCTTTCTAGTTAGGAGTGCTTGCATGCCCCAACACTGATTCTTAGCCATCCCAACCACAGAGTACAGAAGCCTGTTTGGGGATGTTTTCATTGTGGGATGTGTTCAGGACTGCCTATGAGCTTGGGCATTAAATGTAACTCGTTTGACTTTTTTAATCTTAAAATGAGTGTAATAATATTTAAGTACTTCATACAGGTTTTGTTTGAAGAATCAAATTATATTTGTCATGACCTGCATGAACGTGCAAAGATTTTCAAATGCAGATCCAGAAATATGAACCCATATTTAGACATATCAGTAAATAATATAACTTTCAAAAGCAATTTCCACTGAAACTTTTAATATGTTTCTGTGATGCCAACCAACGTCTCAGACATACCGTGTGACTTTCGTACCCATACTGATACATTCCATACTGCATCTTTTTTTACCAGAAACCTCCTAACCATTCACAGAAACTTTTATAAAATTTTCTACATTCTTATGAAGATATCACCATTTGCCAAATGCTATTTGTACCTGTGTAGGTATTAGCCACTCAGTGCACCACGAAAGTGTGCACTGAATACTGAAGGACAGATTACGTTTCAGCTACTGTTTGAGCTAGACTTACTCTAAGAAATTGAATTCTCTCTTCTCAGTGAAATTATAGAAAGCAACAGAGTACATCTCATTCAAAGAATGGTAATGATCACTGTCGAGCAGATAGCAGATGACCTTTTGGCCTGCAATGTCATATCTTGTGAAGAAGTGAATGCCATTGCCTGTGAAAAGTTTGAACAAGAAGACTCAAGAATGATGATTTACATGATTCTGAATAAAGGTTCAGAAGCCTGCAATATTTTGGTTAAGTCACTTGGGAAACACAAGCCTTTTCTCTTTCGTGACCTGCAAGGATATTGTAAGTATTACTGCTTACATTTTTGTCTTCTAATCAGGAGTTAAATTATTATAGAAAAAAAAAAACATGAAAAACTTGCAATGCACTCATTTTTACAATAGTCTTATAATTCTGTAGTTAAGTAAACTCTAATTTGATCTTTATGGTCTAAATTGTTTCATCTGAGAGAATAAGAGAGTGAACACTAAGAAATTTTACAACTGTTAAGACACAAAGAGGGGAAACCCAAATCCAGTGAAAAATTCTGAAAAGCTGAAAATCATCTGTGATCAGATAGTTGAAGTTCATACAGTTAAACACATCCCATCACTTGTTTATTATAAGACAGTTGTGGGTGAGCTGAACACTGAATTATATCAGTTCTATGGACAAAATTAATATAAAATCTAATGGGGATATGTAATGAATTTTTCAAACATAAACCTCTTCCCTGGAAGCTGAAACTACTTGTGCATAGGCTGCAAGTTCATTATGTTGTTAAAGGACTATCTTATTGTATAAATGTAAGGCATACACCTAGGCTAATCTTTCAGCACTCCCAGAGAGGCATGACATTTATTACCGAAACATTTCCCTAAAATAGGTTTCCCTGATTTCCTTCAGTCTGTGGGACTGTGCTTCTTTACTCCACCTGCTTCAAAAGTCTGATCTTGAAATACATGTCTGACTCAGCCCTGTCCCTTAGTCTCTGTCTATGCACTTTAAAAAGTAATGCATACAAACCTTCCAGGACTCCCTTTAGAAGCTGGTTTTTTGTAAGCTTCGGACTTTCTAGATGTTACTACATTTTATTGCGTCTAGGATGGAAGGTTCAATTAAGCTCACCTCCAAACTGTATGAAAGCAGCTCTTAGACTAACAAAAAGTAACAAAAATGCAAAAGACATAGTTTAAAAAAAAAACAAGATTAAAAGTTTATTCAGTCCAACTGTCAAAAACTGTTACTGATTTACAAATCTATCTCTCTCAATACTCCAATACCTTTCATATATCTATAAATGCTGTATTTCCATATTAAAACCTTATTACATAAAAAACTCATACTTTCATCATGCATTTGCACATATAAACTTTCATATGCCTGTATGCAAGCTTACATTTTTGGAATCCAATGCACGAATAGGGTAAGTCCAAAAGGCCCTCAAATAAGGAATTAAGTGGAGCCAGAGTGGTGTCTGCAGACTGTATGAATCTTCTGCCCAAGGATTAACTACAGCCCTTATCAATTAAGTCTCGCCTAGACAGTGGACAATAAATACAGCTCATGCCTCTTGCTTATTGCCATTTCATTAATTTAGCAAGTACATTCAGGCGGTTCTTCCAAAAGTACTGAAATTTTAATTGACAAACTCATTGACTATTTAATTCACTGTTACATGATCTGTTTGCCTTAGGTACTACCAGGCAAGTGGAACAAGATAAATTAAATTATTTGATTCAGGTTTTAAAGTATGTGTATCTATCTTCAGCTTTTCAAAAATACATCCTCTGGGTAGTGACATTGGCATAATTTTTTATTTTGGAACTGCCTATACTGATGTCTTGCTGTGGAAAAAAAATATACATAATAGCAGGAAAGGGCAGCTGATGCTTAACGTCCTTGTGGAGGAACTGAAAAATCCCTGCATTATAGAAGGAGAAGCTGGCAAAGGAAAAACAACTCATCTGAAAAGAATTGCTGTACTCTGGGCTTCTGAAAAATTGCTCTGCTTTGGAAATCTTCCAATTTGTTTTCTTTATCAGCCTGACTAGCACAAGATGTGGAATATATCACTGTCTGTGATCAGCTTCATTTTGAACACCACCTCATCTGCAAACAAGGTTTCATGAAAATGCTACTAGTACAAAGACAAAAGGTTCTTTTACTGTTAGACAGATATGATGAATTCAAACCCCCAAACTGTCCAGAGATAGAAGCAATGATTAAAGAAAACCACAAATTCAGGAACATGGTTATTATTGCTACCAGGACTGGATCTATTAATAAAATCAGACAGTTTGGGTCACTGATTGCTGTAATAGGAGATCTATCAGAGGAGAGTGGCAAGAAGCTCATTAACAATGTCTTGACAAACTGGCTCATGGTCTGTCAAACCAGCTTAAAGAGTCCACTTACATGAAGAACCTTATGAAGACTCTACTCTGTCATCATTGCTTGTGCCATCCAAATGGGTGAAAGTAATTTTCATCCAAGCACCCAGACTCTACTTTTCTCTGCTTTGTATGACTTGATGGTGGAGAAAAACAGGTACAAAACAAAAGGAATAACAGAAAATCATATGATGCTGAGCATAAATCATTGTGGAGACTTAGCTTTAGATGGAATATTTGATCAAAGATTTGATTTTCAGTCTGAGGATTTAGCTGACATAAAAGAAAAATTCCTGCTAGCTTCAGGTCTTCTAAATAAATACACAGCTCAAAGACTAAAGCCAACATATAGATTCTTTCACAAATCATTTCAGGAATACACTGCAGGCAGACAACTTTGCAAACTATTGACATCCTGCCAAGAAGCAGAGGTGAAGAAAAGGTATAGTTATCTACAGAAAATTAATATTATTTCACATATTACTAATAATTATTTCAATTGATCGTCTACACTTGTGGATCCTCTCTAGAGGCCACTAGAATAATTTTGGACTTACTGAAGAGAATTGATCAGCATAGAGATAATTCTGAACTGTTTTCATTAAATAATCTGGCTTTGGAAAGAGAATACACAAAAAAATCAGAAAATATAACAGAAAAGGAAGATTTAAGAGGAACTGACAAGGATATTTTTGCGGAGTGTGTCATTAATTTCTTTTATGAAAGTTCTTCAAAATCAGCCTTGAGCAGAGATTTTGAAGAGGGTTTTTTTGTGATAAAAGTATTTACATTAATACTCAAAATATCCCAACTTATTTCTCTGATTTTTTTAGATACTTACCAAATTGTCTTAGTGTACTAGAACTCATTAAGTTACACTTTTTTGGAAATTACTCAACAAGTAAGGAAATAGATGATGAAAATGTGGAAGACCTTCCAATTAATTCACTTAACACTTACATTCCTGAAAAGGCTGTCTCCTTATTCTTCAACTAGAACCAGAGTCTCAGATCTTTAGAAATTACACTGCAAGATTTCAACAAGTTAAAGAAATGTGATATTAAATATCTGGGCAAAATACGTTGCTCTGCTGCAAGCCTCAAGCTGCACATCAGCAATAGTGCTGGTATCACAGGAACATTGAAAGAAGTCCTTGAAACCTGTGAAAACTTACAAGATCTTACTGTGGAGTCCACACCTCTTACTGTGGAAGATCAGCAACAGATCACAACAATGACAAAGCTGAAAACCTTATATAAAAGAGATCTGCAAAGTGAAAATCTGGAAGGTACAGTAAATGAGATCTTTTAGATAATTGTGGATGAGAAGGTAAAACAAAGGGGCTCATGGCTGCCTTGTATATGGAAGATGCCTGGTTTTGATCAGTTTGACAAATGTTATATTCCTAGAATGCAATTCTATATTCTTGGTGAAAGTGACTGTAGTCTACTCAGTTACGTAAATTTACTTATGTTATTTAGTTGTGTAGGTCAGGTCTGGCCTCTGAATTCCTGTAAATTGCCATTTCATTATATTCTTGATTCTTGGTATACAATATATTAAAAAATCTGTTTTTTAATAAAATACTAGGTGGGAGAAAAAAATGTAACAACTCTGGTGCAAATAATACACAGTAAATGAGATAATGTCTATACGCTAGCTGAATTTTGTAAGTGCCGTGGGATACAGCACACCATCACTTTAACTTAGTTTTCACAACAGATGCATATGGTTTTGGCAACCAGATGAGAGTGTTGTAGCCTAATCTAGACCTGTAACATTGGACAGAAATTTTCCCTCATTGCTTCCTACATCTCTGTCATAATATCTGGGTAAGCATTTTTTTGAAAAAAGTCTAGTTCTGATGTTAATACCTAATGTGATGGAAAATCTGCAGTATCTTTTGATAAGTCATTCCCACAATTAATTAAATGCTTCTAGCTTGAATAGTTGTTTTCTTTGAAAATTGCAATGGCATTATAAAGAAGAGTGTAGTAATTATAGTGTAGTATGCTCCAGACATATCTGAGGTGAAGGATTCTACAATTAGGATGAGGGACATGTATTTCCTTATGCTGTGAATCACACACATCCAGGATCCTTCAGTGTTATTGTTAGAGCAGGGCACTAATGGAGGATGGGTGCATCTGCTGCTGGACTGTGCTCTGAGCTTTTCCTCATTCAAGCTATCTATGAATGTATCTTGTCTTAAGAAATGTACACAAGCACTGATGATACCAAATCTCGGAGATAGGTGATCATAAGTCAGCAAAGCACTCTTGCAGTGATAAAGACTAAGCACATTGTGGGCAGTACCAGTGTACCCTAGGAACTGGTTATTCCCTTCTATTCTGCACTCTTGAGGCCAAATCTGGAATATGATGTGCAGTTTCAGGCTGCTCAGTATAAAAGAGATACTAACAATTTGGTTAGAATCCAATGGAGGGCCACTAACATGGCTAGGGAGCTGGAACACCTGATAACCTGATACACAAGGAGAAGCTAAGAGAACTGGGCATGGTTTTCCTGGAGAAGAAAAGGCCAATGGGGAAACTAATTGCAGTCTTCCATTACCTTAAGGGTGTTGTAGAAAAGATGGAAACTTTCAGAGCTGCACAAGTAAAGGGCAAGAGTCAACAATGTCAAGTTTGTAACAAGGGAAGTTGCAATTGGACATAAAAAGTTTTTTACCATGGAGGTGATCAAACATTGCAACAGGGATCTGGACGTCATTTAATCACTATCCTTGGAGATTTTCAAAACTCGTCTGGACAAGGCCCTGAGCAACCTCATCTAACTTTAAAATCAGCCCTGCTTTGAGCAGGAAATCGAACTAGATGACCTCAGAAGTCCTAACCTGATTTTTTCGATCATTCTATGACATATGACCTCAAGATTATTCTGGAACTACATATTAATGAATACTCTTTCCTGTGTGCCCACATATGCCAAGATTGTTAGGAAGAAAAGCATAAGAATATAATAACAACAGCCATACTGATTCAGAGGAAGGGTCCATCTACTTTGGTTCGTTGTCTCCAACAGCACTTGTAAGTGGATGTCTAAGGAAGAGCAAGAACAATGCAAGAATCTATAATAATTTTTTCTCAATAATCTCACAGCCTCTGTTTTAAGCTCAGACCAGCTGCCTGTGTTTATGATTTGTTTATTCAGTGACCTCCCCAAAGGGTCCTGCTAGTACTTGTCTGTCTTTGCTTTGAGCCCATGTAAACTTCCTGCATCTGCATCATCCTTTGGCAAAGGGTGTGAAGGACTGTGTCCTTAATGTTTGTTTTGGACTAGTTTCAATTGGTGGCCCCTTGTTCTTGTACTGGAAGAAAAAATCCAAACAGTCAGTCTCTACCCAACCTTTTCCTTGCACTCATTATTTTGTAGACCTCTGTCATATTCTCCCTAGGTTATCCCTTTTAAATGTTCGTATTTTCACACAAAGCTATTATTTACTTTTCACAAGAACCTGATATCAGTGAAGTGTATCTGTTCCAAAAATGAATTTGTTCCTGTATTAAATTAAAATGCTGTATACATCTATGGTGGTTTTTTTTTTCAGCAAGTGGACTTATTGATGGAATAAAGAAACTTGTGAATGCTGAAGGGCTTGTAGTTCACATAAGTATGGATGAAGGTGATGCAAAAAAATTAGGTAATTTCCTCTCTCCTATTTTACACCATAATCAAGTATATAGTGCTGAGAATGTGAATGTTTTAACAAGTTGGTCTGAAGTTTGTACACTATTATGACATGAAAATCCTATCATCTAATTTAGAGAAGTAATTTCTTATATATTTGTGTTGAAGTCTTGATGTGTTCTGTATCCTGATCATCACAAAGTATTGCAGTGCTCCTTTCAAGTCAGTAATGCATGCTGTAGTCAAACAGATCTAACATACTGATCCCAGGACTGGCTAATCTGCATGAACCACAAGTCAGGAGGTTGCAAAGATGATACAGTTCCCTTCCCTGACCTATTGCTGACTTTCTGCAAGGTCAGCCACTGGATACCAAGGTTGAAAAGCTTGAATAATGTTTGCTAGGGCCACACAACCCAGTAACTGAAATGGAGACAGCAATTCATATGTCTACCCATCCTCTCTTTGATGGCATGGTAAAAAAATGCTTTTCCTGGATTTGTTCCACAGGAAGATCACATTTGATCCTCTATGAGTTAATTTCTCTGGGCTGAGGGGCAGTTTATATTGTTTACACGATACAGTAGCTGAACAGGAGGCTGTGTTTATAATTTTTTTTTCAAACAAAACCTGTCATATATTTCATGGCATCAAAATATAGATAGTTGTATGCCAGACAGTAAACATCTAACTCTGTCTAGCCATTTGCTGTGATCAAGACATTATAAACATATCAAAAGAGTTTACCTAACAATGTGACCTGGGTTGTTTGTTTTTTTTTTTTTCCATTCCATTCATAGCTGAAGGTAGCAGAAATTTGAGAAAGCTACGCTTATTATACATGAATCACTTGACAGCTATTGGGGATGGCATAACGTACATTGTAAGATCAGTCTCTGGTGAACTAAGTGAACTGGAAGAAATCCAACTAGTCAACTGCTGTATCTCCAGCAATGCTGTGGAAATTCTAGGTAAGAATAGTAATAGTAACTTTTCAAACTGAATATGCATGTTTTGAAAATCAAAACATAATTCTATAACAGAAGAAAAAATCATATAAGGATAAAATCAGAAACACTTAGGTTCACATTAAGTTTCAGTTAGCAGAGATGTAAAATGCAGTAAGGAAAGTTTTATATAAAGCTTTTATATAAATCCTAAGTATAAAGGTTATATAAAAGAGAAAGATAAACTATTGCATAGCTCTGTAAACAAACAAAATAGGAAAGCAAATAATGGATGATGCAAGCAAAACTAGTTTTCAAAGTTGTTTTTGTTTCAATCATTACCAAAAATATTAGTTCTGATCAGGTACCTACTCAAATCATTTAACAAGGTCACAGTAGTACAAATAAGGATAAATAAAAATTATTTAACTAAAACACATGAACTCAGGTTAGCAGAACCTAGGGAAATTCACAATTAAGTATGTAAGGAACAAGCTGAAAGAATCATTGAATTATAGACAACTGTCTCTGAACATTTGTGGAGGCAGGAAAGTGGAAAATCCAGTATGTTTTCCTTGAAAGGAGGAAATCATAGAGAAGCCAACCTCCCTCTGATACCAAGAAAAATTCTGAGACAGATTACCACACATTTTGTAAGCACTTAAATTATAGAGATAAAAGGTAGTGTGAATAAATTACATCAAACCTTTCCAGGGAACAGGGTAATAAGACTGTGAAAAGATAAGTCTGGATCTATGATAACTCAAATGAGGTTTTTACCTATCCTATACAACATCCTTAACAAGAAGCTAATGAAATATATACAAATAAAATGGGTGCACAACTGGTTGAAAAATTACTTTCAAAGAGTTATCACAAATGTTTCACTAAGTGAGAACACATTTTCATACAATCAAATCCTTCCTTGTTCTAAACAATATTAAAATATGGCTGATGGCTTAAATGACAGAATGGAGGATACGCGTATAAAATTTCAGATGATACTGAGCTTGGAAGGCTTACAAGCCCTGTTGGAATACAAAACCATAAATAAAATTGGATGCATTTAAGAGGTGGTCCAAAAACAACGATAGGGGATTGAGTATAGACAGATGTAAAGGGCTGTAGCGGGGAATGAGACATGAATTTCATTAATATAAAATGGAGATTTACCTGTGTAACAGGAAAGAATCAGAGCTCTTCTGTGGAAGACTGGAAATATGCTATTGCAAAAAGCATCTGCTGGTGAGTCCTGAGCAAGAAATCTGTGCCCAACCTCAGTATCATAATTTAAAAAGGTATGGAGAAATTGAGAGAAAGCACCAAAAACAGCTAGAGGTTAAGAAAATGTGACTTAGGAAGAATGGTTTAGTTTTGTTTTGGTTGAGAGAGAAGACTGAAAAAGATATGATAAATTTTTTATGCTCTTTAAACATTGCTACAAAGAGATGAGAATCAACCATTCTTTTTGTCCACTGGGAGAAGAAAGTAGCTAAATTTGCACAGAGAATATTTAGATTGGGTATTGGCAGAAACTTTTTAAATCCAGGAAGGTAAAATAGTGCCTAGGGAGAATATGGAAATTTTCAAAGAGCAAGATAGATAAATATGTATCATGAATGGTTTAGTCTTATCAGTATCCTGCCCCATTACAGATGTTTAGACTCTAAGTTCCCATCTAGTCCCACTCTTCCACAGTTCTCTGATTCTGTAAAATATACATTTTTATATCATAACAAAAAAACTTGACAGCTTTGTGAAGCAGGAGGTTGAAGTCTCCAGGGCTTAAACCACTAAAGAATCTCCCATGTGTTCAGACAGCTTTGCCCTGCTTCTGTGTTGCAAAGACAACTTAAAGTTGTCTTATTGCCACTAAAGATTCACTTAGCCACCAGAATATAAGTTATACAGAGCCATTATTCCAGCTCTTACATCTGGCCAGGTCCTTTATTTTATCAATTCCTAGAGACACAGTTAACAACAAGAGAGCACAGTTTGCATCAGAGAGGTGTCAGAAAAACAAGAAAACTCTGGAGGTTTTTAAAAATCTTGTCTTGCTGTTCATTAAAAAACAAAGCTAAGGAAGGTTCAATAAAAAACAAGTCATGTTGCACTGAAAACATGCATAACAAGCTTTTTTCCTCCCATAGCTCGGAATCTTTTTAATTTGCCAAAACTGAATGTACTTGCTTTGTCGGAAAATTATTAGAAAAGAAAGGAAAAGATGTTATCCACAGACTTGGTAAGTCAGAAGTTTTCTTTATCTAAATCATTTGAATTGGGAATGAGCTTCAATTCTAAGACCTATCCAGACAGAAATTCAAGAATTCTTTCCTCTTTTATTTTTAAGTAGGATATAATTGGTATCCTGAACCATGTCCTTTCAGTGAATGGGAAGTTTTTAGAAGTAAGGAATATTGTATGCAATTGGCTGCTCTGTCTTTGCTATCAAAGCAACAATCTTGGAGTCTTTAACCTACCAGTATTTTCTTCACTGTTGAAATGTGATTTGGTTTAACTTTTTAAAGTGATTTTACAGTGAGCTGTTATAACAACAACAAAAAATTGCACTTATTTTCATTTAGTTGATGGCTTAAATGTCCTGCCTAGGATGAAAGTGCTGATGCTTCCCTGGGGGAATGATGTAAAGGTTTGCCTAAAAAAAATTGTTAAAGCTACTGGAAACAATGCCACAGCTGACGAAACTTGGATTGAGGAAATGGAGCCTCACTGATGTGGAGGTTAGAATTCTAGGTAAGGAAGGGTACTGTGGATGAGCAAAGGATGAAGGACAAAAACTAGACAAAATTCAAAACCATTTCAGGAAACCCAGCAATAAGTGAAATAGCATTAAGTCTGAGTAGGAGATAGAGAGAGAGAGAGATGATATATATAGCATTAGATGAGCCAAATAACGCTCACATTTCTGCTCAATGAGGACCATTTTTCGCTGCATAAGTAGTGCAAGGAAGACTGCAGGCAACTGGAGATTCTGGTGAAGAAGCTCCTTGAGAGGGAGTTGTTTCTGATTGACGGATTTATTATCTCCTCCATAAACATGGCAGGAATAGAATTGGACTCTTCTTACATTAAATTGTCCACTAACATAACATCTGTTACAGAATATATTTCAATAGTAGAGTTAAAAAAGGCCAATGCTAGTATAACTTTTATCAAGGTAGATAGCTGAAGATTGGGGAGATATAAAAACTACATGGATTCACATCATTCACCCCTTCTGAGGATACAGTAGAAATGAAATGTCAAAATGAATGAGAATATTCATGACCTTGATCCTGCAATGCTTTTGTGTGAGTGGTCATAAGCAGCAGTCCATCAGCCCATTTAAGCTAATGACCTCTCTGTAGTTAAAAGGATCCTGTTGTATGAAACATACTGCAAGGTTATGTTTTAACAAGGAAGAAAAGTCTAGATATAAAAAAATTTGTGATCTGTGGCTGCTATATTTTACATTCTTGGTTCTAAACAAGGAAAAAAAGTAATATGCAAGCACATGTTTAAATCCTTTTCTATTAAGGTATTGGTATTGTTTTAAGCATAGAAGTTCAACTGAATTCAGTAAGACTCAATTCTTCAATATCCTGAATAGGAATCATTCTCTTTGTTAGGGCTTGAAGCAAAAATAAATACATAAATACATAAATAAATATATGTTCACAGGCAATTTTTTTTGAGAAAGAACACCTGCAGAACCTTCAGCATTTGGACTTGGCAATGAATTGTGTGGCAAGCAAAACAGCTTTCCTTCATGCAGCCACTGATCTCTCTCAAGAAGCTGATATTTGTAGATTTCAGCAGCAAACAAGACTGGGTGCCTGCATCACTGTTAGTCTGCAAATTAAGTCAGGTACCAACCACACTGAAATATTTAAAGGAGATTGAAGTCACTGGATGGAAGTTTGATTGCCATGATCTTGGACTTATGGAGGGTGCAAAGAAAAACTGCGAAAAACAATTTCAGCTAGTGCATTCTTAAACAGAACAAGCTTTCCCAGGGGACATTCACTTACAATCCTTCATATTTGAGAAATGCTCTTTTCTATAACCACTCACTGAATCAGCAGCTCTAGGGTTATTTGGATCTCCTGGTCTGCTAGTGACTGGTGTGAGAATCCTTTCTAGGATCCTTTTCTGGGAGAAACAGGTCAAAAGAAAGTAAGAGAGAGATCACCTTGCATTAGCCCCAAATCCAGCAACCTGTAATGCCTCTCAGTCTTTAAATGGTTTCAAGGAGTGTTTACTTTATCTGTGTGTGCTTTCTATGAGCTCATTTTTATTAGCTTTGAAGTTTAACTGTGTAGATTAAGGAAAGCTCTTAATAAAAAGGTAACAAAGCCTGCAACTTGATGGATAGTAGGTAGGTGTTTTACCAGGGTTTTTTTTCAGTTAGATAGTAAAGTTGTCTGACCTAGCACAGAGCTTTTCCTACTGGCAGGGCAATTCTAGTATAGCTACATCTCTATCATACACTACAGGAAAATGTATTGTAGAGACAGAATATGCCAATGAAAAGTTAGAACTCTAAAATAACAACAGTATTATTAGAGCATATTAGCTCTACAAAAAAGGGCATGGTCATACAAGTGACCATGAATTAAAGAGAGATGTAACCAAGAACTATTCTGCAGTTATTAGCCACAAACAAATTCTTACTCCACAGCAAAACACCAGATAGCTTATTTCAAGTGACTTTCACCATTTTTAATCTACCACCATTTTGACTAGTGAAAAGAAGTCAGCATTTATTGCTTGCTTTCACAGTAAGCTACCTCACATGTGACTTGTGCTAAGAGTTTACACGTGGACATTATAACAAGTTGCCAGTGTGCTCTTAAGTTCATACTGTGGTCCACTTTACAGGAAGTTGGTTGTTTTCTGATACCCTTAGTTCCTGGTGTAGACAAGATAGAATGCAGTCTCCAGGCCCTCATAGTCCACAAATATCCCAGGAAAGAACCATGTACACAAGGCAGCTCCAAAAACAGCAAAAGAAAACAGAGGATTTGGTCACATCTGTAGAAAGCAGTGGCCAACCAAAGACAGCAGACTCTTGTTTCCTGTCTGCTACTGGAATGAAGGGACAGGAGCACCAGTTAGAGCTTCTGTTTCACTTCTCTAGGGAGTGTTGAACCATGGGTGCTTGTATGTCATGAACCCCTTAACTCTGTGTTATGTCCTCATAAACACTTGTACTTGTGAGTTCTGTTTTGTGCCGGAGAGTGCTTCAAAGCTGTTTCATTCATCTCCCTGTGCCCTGCCAGTGAAAAGAAATACAGCATTTTCCCTGTAGTTAGGGTCCTTCAAAGGCATGATCCCAATTCAGCAAAGCACTGAATTCTGTGAAAATGCTTAAGTTATCTCTATTGACAAAATCTGACACAGGCTAGAAATACTTTTTTTTCCAAGCAGCAAAACCTATATCAATATATAGACTGAAAACTGAAAAAAAAAAAAATAGAAAAATGGGTTTAAAATTACTAGGGTGCATCTGTGAAAACAGACACATGGATTTCTGTAGTAAATACTTATTTTCTACTTTGACACAGAAAGGAGATCTCAAAATAATACAGTTTATAGAAGATAGTTTCATCATCATTTATGTATTTCGATCTTCTCAATTGCTTAGTTGCTTAGCAGAGCAACTTTGTGCTTCAAAGCTCTGTTTGAGATTGATCAAAATGTGAAAGAATAACCAAGCTCTTGGTAAACCCCGCATCCCTCTTTCCCCAGCTGTATTTGATTTCTTTCCCTCCTACTCCCTCAGCAGGCTATATTTCTCACCAAAGACTGTAGCTAATGTTGTATACATTAGACACGATGAAAAGTTGAATAAATTAGAGAGACCATTTTTGTTCTGCCTATTCCTTTGTTTATGCTTTGTCACTGGCACCTGATGCTGCAGACCCAGGCAAATTTCTTGCCCTCTACAGCTTGTTCTGTAAGAAAAAACAAGTAGAAGAGCACACTCTCTGTTTTCTGGTGGATATTGAATTGCAACATACTGAGTATCCTTGTCATGAGATGTATAAGTCCACTCTGACAGTTAAGACATACGATACAAAACCAAAGAGCTCTATTAGGCCTCATAATTAATGTACTAGGATGTGGAAAGGTGTTTGAAACAACCAACGTATCTTCAAAGGACTTCTTTTTCCATTTAAAGGTAGTTGTGAAAACTCAGATCTAGAAAGCAGCTGACAGAAAAGGGTTGATAGGTATTGCTGAACCTGAAGAAGAAAGTGTGGGTAGTCCAGGCAGGTGACCTTGTAAGAACATGGTGGTAAAAATTGAGTCCTGGAGGTTGAATGGAGATGGGTGACCTTTTTTTGAGGATGATTGCAATTAAGGCACCTTAGGGAGAAACTTACGGAGCAAACCAGGAGCTCAGACAAGATGCTGAGAAATTAGAATGACCAAGAAAATATTTACTTTGTACTCCAGGTGGCTGTGTGGTTTTGTGGCCAGTTGGCACCTTGGCCATAATAGGACCAAGCTGGAAACCTGAGCTATAGAACAGGCAGATTTGGGTAAGGCCTAGAAAGAAAATAAGACCCAGATGAGGGCTTATGTCTGATGCTATGCCAAAACCCAAAGGACTATGCAAGCACTGAGGCAATCACCTTCCTAGATCTATAAATGGGATATATTAATTTTTTCAGTGGAGAAAGGGAAAGGAGAAGAGAACTAAACAACAAGTCCAGGAAGTAAAAAAAATGAAAAAATGATGTTGCTCAGATAGCTGGGGACAAATCTGTACAAGTTTGATTTGACAGTGCTCTCAAATTGAACTGCTGACTTCACTTGTTTTTAGGCTTTCATGCTATTCAGTCTTACTCTCCCAGTCTGAAGACCTTTCTGTTTTCTATGAAAAAACTAACAAACCCATGCATAATTTAATTATTGTAATTAAAGGACTATTCTCTGCTTTCCAATGTGTTGTGTTGTCTTTTATCCCAGAGTGTCATGTTTCCAGAGAGAGTGCGTTGCACTGGCAGCCTTTTGCCCTCACTTTGTGCTGACGTAACTAAATACATACAATGCATAGCAATGGAAAATCAGGCACTAGAAATGTGGAAGATTATGTTGTGTAGAGGACTGGAGTGTGTTCCATGTCTTGTGAGATCAGAAACAAGTGCCATTAACTCTAGTCCTTGGAGGAATCCTTTACTTTTGGCAAGCAGTGGAAAAGCCTTTGCTGATAGGGGCAAAAAAGCAAGCAGCCAAAGAGCAATGTTTTAACCACTTCAAAAATGGGTAACTGAGCCTTTGGAAGACAATTCTAAAGAGGAGTCAATCGTAGCCTGATAATCTTAATCCTGCTAGAAGAAAGGCATAAGACGACCAGACCTGAGTTGTTCCATGGTGGAGTCAGTGAGTAAACCTACATTTTGATGTGCTGTCTTCCTCACTAAACCAGCATATTTCAGTACTTCTACAAAATATTTCAAAAGTGAAAAATTAACCAGCAGTGTTCTTCCCTCCTTGCTCTAAAGCAAAGGAGCCTGAGACATATATAAAGGTGATTTTTCACATTCCCACAGTTGCTTTTCCCCAGTTTTCCTCCACAATATCTTGGATCATATTCTTCTACATTTTGTACGTGCTTGTAGTAAGCACAGTAGCACTGCCTGTAAACTGAACAATTTTAGGTTTGTTTTTACAGTCTATCCCCTTCCTTCCTAAAAGTCTGATGATTAACACGCTGAGTTATAATGCTATTGCTACACATGCACAACTTAGGGATAAAAAGATGCTGATGAGATACTTAAAATGTCAAAACATAGATATATAGAAAGCAGGAAACTGCACCCTACAGAAGATCATTGTTTGTTGTTACAATACTGTATAGTGTATGCTTTCAATGATTTATGAACGATCATTTAATCTGCCTTCCCAGCCCTCTAGATCTGAATTAGTCTCCTGATAGCTCTGATTAACTTGGCCCCCTTCAGTCATATAATGCTGGTTTTGCTCGTAGATAAGCAGCTTTTAGTTCGTTGTATTTGGACTGTTTCCCACAAGTGGTATAAATGTGTTCTTAATACTTCTTACAAGTTTGTTAATAAGATTAGAAGGATGATTGTAATATTTGTTGACTACTATCCAGTAAACTGCTAATCCATTATGGCGGTGAGGAAAGGGAAGTACACAGCATGGATTTGAACATAAATCTCAAACAGTAGCACTTGTTAACTTTTAGCAGCTTATGTATTTTATTGTGCTCATTGCTAATTAAAATTCTTACACAGAAAGCTTGCTTCACCCTAGGCTTGACCTGCCTCATATGATGCACTGAGGTGGCAATTTCCTTGAATTAGGGTAGTTTGGGCATGTGACAAGTATTCTCTGATCACCTTCCTTATTGTGAGTATCTAATAACTAGCTAGCACGCAAGAAGAGCATTAACGTCCTCATTGTGTTAGTTCTCCTGTGTGAAAACATAATGGGTTCCAGTGGAAAGAAAATAAGATTGGGACTATTTCTAACCATAGAGATTCCTTCACATATGGCAAGCAATCCTTTCAGTTTATTCCTCTGCATTTGCTTTCCTTTTCTCCTTTAACTTTACTTCTTTCTACCCCCATTCCTTTTTTCCTGCAAATCTTCCCTGACATCCTTTTTTTTATACAAAGAGATTTTTAACAAAATGTATTTAACTAAATTTTGACGGTGATACAGGAGTGATCAGATTACTTTTGTGGGAGCTGCAACTGCTGAAATTCTTGCAAGACTGGGACATCAAAAAATTAGCTTGAGATTTGGATCAAATGGTGCCACCTGCCAAAAGGCAGAAAATAACTGTAAGACTAGATTTGTCAGTGTTAAAATTCAGATTTTTTTCTCCAAATTACAAAAATGTAATAGGGAAAACAGCAAAGGGTTGTTCCTCCTCAAGCCCATGAATATCCCAGTATCCAGACAGAAATCTCATTGATCTGGAGACACTTGCAGAAACCTAGCTACTTCTAGGCCTTC